CTTGAAAAGAACATGTGTGTGTGTGCTGGCTAAAAGGAAGGTGTATGTGTGTGTAACAGGATCTCTGGGTCAGTGAGTTGTAAGTGAGAATATCATTTCTATATGGGATTACTTAAAACAGTTCAAACAATACATGTTTACTCTAATACAGTTTAGAATCATATCTTTTTACTTCATATTGCAGCAGCATAAAAAGACATGGCATTGATTGTAAAAATAAACATTTTAAAGATAAAAAATAAACATTTTAAAGATAAAAAATAAACAAGAAAGTACAAATGTAAATAAACAATATAATCTCAGCCAGAGGTTATTTGTTGGATCACAGAGGCGGAGGAGACGGGGCACGTCGGCTGCCCGTTCCCCCTAGCATCTGGCCAAGAGTGCGCAGGAAGGCTAAATCAAAGGTCTCTGCTAGAGCGACCTCCTCCCTTCTCAAGGCTGCTTCAACTCCCTCGCCTCCCCCAAGGTCTGGTTCATCTGCTGGGCCCGGTCTTCCTTCTGCTGGGCCAGGTTCTGCTCCTGGTGGTCCTTCTGCTGGGCCAGGTTCTGCTCCTGGTGTTCCTTCTGCTGGGCCAGGTTCTGCTCCTGGTGTTCCTTCTGCTGGGCCAGTTGCCGTTCCTGCAGGGCCAGATCCTCTCCTCGTTTCCTCTTGCCTGGGTGACAAGATAATTATAGCAATAATAATTAGCAATAAGAATGAAAAAACACAGGACAGGTAGGCCTACAGGTCACACAAGGATATAAGAATAAAATGTAAACAGAACAACAGTAAGGATGAATTAAAGAAAGTTCTGGCCCTAGATGTTTACAATGATTGTGAATTTCCAGCCTGTTGATAATGAATATAAATATATGCATATAATAGGATGTCACACACAATTGTACTAGCTGCTTACTAGCTAGTTACTTTACTTGTAACAGAGCATTCCCACACAGTGGTAGGCCTACAGCTTATTTTACTTACTGACGATGGATGGTCTAAAGTTTAAAAAAAAGTCACAATTCCAGCCTATTTCTTACCTAGAACCACACGCAGCGGTGTCGAGCTGGCACTTAGCGTTGGTGTCTGTGCTCGTGTTGGTGTCTGTGTTGGTGTCTGTGGTCGAGTTGGTCGAGTTGGAGTTTGTGCTGTTGATGTGGAGGATGTTGATGCAGAGGACGTTGTTCGGGGCTGTTCCTCCTCGCTAGTCCCAATGTAATCATCTAGAACAGAAACATGACTTGTTAATTCCACAAACTACTGCAGCACAATACTATAAATAGCAACAACAACTATAGAAAAGAAAAACTGAACGTAAACAATGGCACATATGGTGTTAGCAAACAATAGCTCTAGCTAATGCTATCTGCCTTAGCTAGCTAGCTAGCCTTCGGGGCTCCATAAAAGCATGGGTTGTCGAACATAAATGTAAGGATAAAATATACTTATTTGTTAGAAGTGAGCTTTAGAACAGATAGGGACACAAAGCTTTCAAGCAAATAACAGAGCGTTAGCAAAAACTTACCATGCAGAGACTCCAGTAACGCTGTTGCAGAGTCCAGGCCTCCCTCCCTCCCAACGCTAGCCGGTCTATGGCCGTAAATGGTGTCCATTAGGTCAAACCACTTCCAGTTTTTCCTACTGGCACCACTCGTGTTGTTATTATCTTTTACCAAGCGATATTCACTCTTCATCTTTTTGAGTTTTTCCCTACACTGCACGACAGTCCTTGAGTAACCGCTTGTGGACATCAGTGTAGAGACCTCCTGAAACACTTTGATATTGCGAGTTGTCCTGTCGAGCTCCCACTGGACCTTATCATCTGCAATGTAATGTAGGAACGTCGTCACTTCCTCGACCGACCATGGCGTGCTTTTCTTTGCCATTTTTGTAGCTCCTCTGTTAACAAAAATGCTGTTTATAAAAATGCTGCAAGCTTCCCTATATATATGCGACGCTAGGGATTATCTCGCGCGCCGATTGTGACGATTCTCTCCGACCAATCAGCAGTCGAGAGTGTTGACGTCACATACTCAGCCTGGTTGTTCCTGGCCCTAGAACCACGATTTTATGGGGCCAGAAAAACTGTGAATTAGGACCCGCTAGCCGGTACTAGGCCAAGTGGAAACGCAACCAAAAACGGGCCGCTGACGTCACAGCTCTCTTAAACCGTGCTCCGCGCTGCAGTGGAAACGCGCCATTAGACACCCCGGCCAGCATAACGTACTTTCAACTTGCCCGCTCGGGCCACTAAAAATATTGCTTTAAAAAATTAAAATGGTCCTCTGGTATTGCTATTTTGACAAGCAATTTTGTTAAATTGTTTCGTTTATTATCGCTACAACATAGCATTTCGTGAGGCGGTTGTCGTTGTTGGGTGAAAAGCAAACAGCTGTTTGCTGCGGAGTGCAGCGCGAGCAGTCTCCCGTGAGCGGGAGCGCGCTCCTTCACTACAGACTGTCGCGCCACCTAACCATTCGCCAAAATGTTTTTAAAACCACCGGTAACTGGCCAAGCCGGGCAAAAAACAATCTTCAAATAAAAGAAAGTCACCGGAGGAGTTAAAGGAGAGTGACAGGGAGTATGAGAAGAAGAGGGAGAGAAAGTTTCAGCCACACTGGCTTGATCGATGGAGTTGGCTTCAATATGATGCCAATATAACACCTGACACCTCCCCACCATCAGACTCTTCTTCGTTCAGACGGTTTAGCAACGCTAATGCCTCCTGAACATTCATGAGTCTCTTTCTTTTGTCCATTTCGGAAATATGACCGCGGCTCTCTATCTATAAATCTATCTATCTATATATAACTAGCCTATCTATCTATCTATAACTATCTATCGATCTATCTATAACTATCTATCAATATATCTATCTATCTATCTCTCTCTCTATCTCTCAATCTATAAGGACCAGTAGACAAAAGGTGTTGCTATAGCAACACGTCATGTTTATGTTTACGCGCGAAATCAATAGCGCGAAAAGGGGTGGGGTCAATATGACCCGCTGGGCGGAAATAGGTATAAATTAGGGCTGTCAAGTTAACGCGTTAACGTTAACGCAAAAAAAAAATTAACGCCACTAATTATTTTAACGCGATTAACGCATGTGTATTTTTTGTCCTCGGCCGCCCCGTAGTTTCAGAGCGCATCGAGTTTAAAATACCATCTACAAGCTGATGCTGACAGCCCCGCTCCTGCCACCCGCTTGTGGCAGACCACACTTCCACGCTCACGGGCAGGCCCGGACTGGCCATCGGGAGGACCGGGAGGGTGTGTGTATGTGTGGCGCGAGCGAGGCACACCTTACGTGTTGTTGTTGTTGTTAGCATCTGGTGCTAGCTAGCTGCGCTAACGGATATAAGGAGCTGTTTCAATGAAAACAGAGGAGCGACATTTCGCCGACAACTGCGCCGAGCACTTGACTTTATGCAGGTAGCCAGACAGTGGGACATTGTACGAAAAGTCAGCACACTCAGCACGGATAGTGCGCGCAACATGATTGCAGCGTCCAGGCAGCTCCCGTTCAAGCATATATGCCTTGAGCTGCACATAGCTCCAACGATCCATCACAGTGTCTCCACACACACACACACACACACACACACACACACACACACACACACACACACACACACACACACACACACACACACACACACACACACACACACACACACACACACACACACACACACACACACACACACACACACACACACACACACACACACACACACACACACACACACACACACACACACATTATTGTATGAGAGAGGTTCCAGGTTGAATTGGGGCGAATATTTGTAATGTTCAGAGGTTGTTGTGTTTAATATTCATGAGAAAATGTGTCATTGTTCAAATGATAATAAACAAACATATAAAGCATCTTTGTCCACTCATATGTTGATATGAGTATTAAAAACTTGAAAAATATTATAAACGATTTCCTTAAAAAATGATGATTTGTCATCCAGCCAGCTCGCCGATTTTGCGGCAGCTCTTTCCCTCAAGAACGCTAACGAAAAAGCTCTATAATGGCAGGCAAACATTTTTTACTTGACTCCTTTTCTAAAAAGAATATAATTCACAAGAAGAAAGAGGCTAGCAGCACCGAAGCTACAAGTGAAGCTGCTACTAGTACTACATCATCAGAAGAGCCGCCTAAAGACGTGGGTAATGCTAGCACTAACGTTAACGTTAGCTGCTCTAGCAACGTTCCCCTGGCTAGCTCACCTTTCCCAGAGGTATGGACGGAGGAGATGTGGCGGAGGAAACAAGAGGCATACCCATGGATAGACTGCAAAGCTGGGAAACTGGGCTGCAAAGTTTGTTCATCCATTTCGGATTTATCAGTCTTCAAAACGCAAGAGGGGTGTGTGTGTGTGTGTGTGTGTGTGTGTGTGTGTGTGTGTGTGTGTGTGTGTGTGTGTGTGTGTGTGTGTGTGTGTGTGTGTGTGTGTGTGTGTGTGAAGCAGCGCTGTCTGCTTATTTGCAATGTAGGCTAGGCCTAATCAGAATAATTTCAAGTCCAGATTCAATGTTGTTTGCATAAGTAGGCTATATTTTTTCATTTCATTTATTTAATAAGTAAATTTCAGGACAACTTTGGGAATTTTGTTTGTTTGTTATGAGTTTTAAATAGATTTTGAAAGTGGAGATAGAGAGAAGCAGCGCTGTCTGCTTAGTTGCAATACTGTAGCTTATGCAACTTAGGCCTATAAATTGTTTATGTAACTTATGTGCTGGTGTGTCCATGGTTTTGAGTCTGTGTGTGTTGAGCGCAGCGCCGTCTGCTTTTTGCAGTACAGTAACTAAAGTAGGACTAAGCATACCGGTAGTTTCTGTGGACCTGTCTGCCCGTTTTGTGAGTGCACTGCGCGCGTGCGCACTTGTGTGGCATTGTTTGGGATGACCCAGAGCCGTATAATAGAAGAGTTACGACATCTCCGTTCACTCCAATGGACCAGTTTTTTTACAGCAATGGCGGATCGTGGAGCTGTCAATAGTTCCCCGGAAGTTAGCTTGCCGCTGACTTCCGGGGGACTATTGACTCGAGAGGCTCCACGATCTGTGGCTGGCAGCGCAGTAGAGTTGCAGCGTTCGTGATGGACTTTTAAAGGTAAGAAGACGTTTAAAGATTTATATTGCGGATATTATCAGCACATCTGAGTCAAATGAACATGTGTATTAAAGGATGTTAGTGGATTATCCCTAAATCTACTGATTTAGGGATAATCCACTAACATCCTTTAATACGTTTACAGATAACAGATTAGGCTAGGATACCGGATAAAGTTAGCAACACACGTTAACCATGAACAGCTATTAATCCGTTCTCCTAATGTTATTTCATCCAACGTTGTGGAATTAGAGAAAAAGGGCTTCTAAACGTGATTTTTTTGTGGGGTGGAGTTATATAATATTAGTTAAATATAACATTGGGGCACGTGTGATTGTAATGAGTGGAAGTGGAGAAATTACGATCTCCATTTTGGAGTAGACCTACAAGCTAGTATAATAAAGTTAACGTTACACAATAATAAGGAAGAGAGCTATTTGATATTAATTTAGAGTGCATATTTGAGACTTCCAAACAGTAAACAAAAACGTAATTTATGGGTGAGTGTTTTTAGTGTATTCTGTTGATTATTACCTGTCTGTATTATGTTGCAGCTCAGCTGATTTTGAAATGATGGCAAAGTGAGAGTGAAAACACAAGGTAAATTTAATACTACTGTTGTATATAAGTAAGCATACTAAACATGTATTCTATCACTGTATTATATAAGTAATCTTGTTAGTGTATATTAGTAACCTACAGGGTTCTTACACCTTTTCCAAAGTCAAATTCAAGCACTTTTCAAGCATTTTCAAGGTGCATTTTCAAGCTTTTCAAGCATCTTACAGCTGTTGTAAATTACATATTTATATACACATACTTATACTCAAATGATTATTTCCCTACCTCACATTAAATCAGATGTTCTTTATGCTATAAACAACCAAATGTGTGTTTCATAATAGCATTCTACATGAGGATGAAAAATTAAAAATGTTAGAAAAGAAAACTAAGTTTAATATTTCAAAATGAGTGACCCATCTGTACGTAGACTGGGCATCCCATATAACCTGGCTCAGCCAATATAAAACAATCAGCCAAATAACTTTTTAATATATTATTGATTACTATTTTTGAGGTACTTTTAGGTTGGCAGTAAACACAAGTCAGAGGTAAATGGTGTACTTTGACTCCACTACATGTATTTAATACCTTTAGTTACTTTACAGATGTGGATGAATGATGTGAAATATAATCAAGTGTTAAATCAGACTTTAGTTCCACCTGGAGTAAATTCACAAGCTACTCTGCAGTATACAAAGTCATTCAAACTAGCTGCAACTTTACCAGCTTTGATAACACTTTCATGATCAATCATTATAAAACATATCAGATACAATTATTAGGGATGCTCCGATCGCCAATTTTGGAGCCGATCGCCGGAATCAGTATCGGCCGATACCGATATCGCTCTCTTTTCCTCTCTCCCCCTCTCTCTCTCTCCTGACAGCCCGTCAGTATCTCCTGCAGCTCACTGATCCAGTAATGAGCGACCCGACAGTGAAGAATAAATATATTTATAACTAGTTTAGCTTGTTCCAGAGGTAGATAAAATAGCTAAGTGTGTTAGGTCTAACTCTTAATGTGTGTTCTGCTCCGCTCACCGGTCCGTCACAGCGGGTGGAGCTGCAGGATTTCTGCTTCACACACACGTTGCATACCGCTATTTTATTGTCATTTTCAGACACTTAAAATACTGCCAGACTAGTGAAGCCATTTTGGCGAGCTTGTTTAGCTGCGCACAGAGAAAAGTGTCATGTATTTTACATGCAACGATAGCCTAATCTAAAATGCTCTCCTATGGCGTACCTTTCGTGTGGTGTGTGGCTCGTCAGCGCAGACTCTCGCATCGTTATTGTTGCACACTTTGCAGGAGGCTACTCTTGGGCTTGGCTTGACCCTCGTCTTAGCCATGGCTTGTATTTGTCTTCTGCTAGCCAACGCTCGTTGAAACGGCAACCTCCTGGCATACTGTCATCTATCACTCTCATCAGAATGCCCAGGTCACACACGTAACAAAAACACTTGCCGGTCACGCGCATTGCGCGGGAAGGCCGGAGCGGAGCTGTTTTATGTAAAAGCGAAGCAATTAAGCACGCTCCGACTTCTTTATTTTCTTTAAATCTAAAAGGCGAAGTAAAGCATTTACAATTTCAAGCACTTTATCCCAAATTCAAGCACCATTCCCAAAATTCAAGCACTTTTCAAACCTTGAAAACACCTCGTACAATTTCAAGCATTTTCAAGGATTTCCAGCACCCGTACGCACCCTGAACCTACTGTATGGCAGGTGGAGGGGCAGTGATGTTACAGGTGGAGGACTTACTGGACATGTATACACTCATTACATACTGTACGTAAAATACGACCAAGAATGTGAGACAACTTTATACAAATTCATATCACATCCATTACTGATGCCATTTGTCATACTTTGTTAAACTCACAAATAATAAAGTTCCATAACTTCAGTTGGAAACAAAGACCACACCTTATCTCCCCAAGGCAATTTCCCATCCAATAGATGTGCTATATAGGTGTGTATAACCCTTTCTCCTGTCTGTTTCTCCCTCTTTCAGCACACGAACCAGAGGGGGATTCAATAGAGCCTGAATACCTGCACTGAGACCCTCACCCTGCACCCTGAGTTTCAACTCTCAAGAGTTCTTCAAGCCTTTCCCTGTTATTTGTATTAAACCAAACATTAAGCTTCCCAATGGTGTGGTCTTCGTTTTGTGAAAAAGTGCACATGCAGTGTTTGAATATGATTACCTCACATATTTTGTTGCGGCTGTCTGTTTTGATTGTTAAATTGCTCCTGCTGACTTGAGCTAGCCATTTTTCCCTCCTCTCTGTGTCAGTGGGGAAGCCGTACATTCTGATTCTTACTCCTTTCTCTGAGCGATTGGAGCATCCCCAGGAGGCACAGCAAACCATGGTGGAGACGATATGCCAGGACAACACAGAGGAAAAGGCACAGACAAACTGCATGACATGCTATTCAATGTTTATTTAATTCCATGTATTTACAATGGATGTTCCTAAAACAACACTTTTAATGTCATAATCATGTTGCTGCTAGTCCATTGATAGTCACCTGTTGGTCTCCTGTCCTTTCTGAAAGTCATAAAGAGTACATTAGTCATTTAGATTACTTATGTCCTCAAGTACCATGGGATTACTGAAACCACCATGAATTAAAAAAATGGTAGAAATGAATCTAATCTAAATTTTGAAGCATTCCTTACCATCCCCTCCCTCTAAATATATAAATAAACATTAGGAAGTGATGCTCCTGACTACCATACCTGTTTAAGAAGATAATATTTGTTTTAAATAATTCAAAGCAATACACAACAGCAACAGGCTCTTTAACCAAGGCAACAGCCTAACATGTATATGTTAACAAGTAAACTAGCTGTTCACACTATTCCTAATATTATCCATAAATATTAGCAGATTCTATTTTATTTTTAAAACATATTGATGTAAATACATGCACATATCGGTATGTTGTATAAATATTGCAAATCAAGACCTTTATTCACTACTTATTACCAAAAATCGTAGTTCTATCTCCGGTAATCATGCATTCATATGTCCCGCCACGAACTTCCGGGGAACTATTGACTCTCCCTGAACCACTTGATGATCAAGCATTTTGGACTTCCGCTGTCGTAACTCTCTCTCTATATGGCGCTGGGATGACCTAATTAAAATAGCGTCTCCCCCAGTAAAAAGATCCCCACTACACCACTGGGTGGGGGTGTGGGAATAGAATCACCTGCACAGCTTGAGCCAGACACCATTATCTCTGGAAACATGTTGGATAACTAGGACCATGCCGAGTCGCTGGATACTGTCAGCAGAAACAGAAAGAGGGAGTGAGCTAATTGATAAGCTCCACATATGGTGCAGATATTGAATTTTATGAATGTGAGAGTTATTTCACTCTGGGTTCAGTTGCTCTGCAGACCGACTCGGTTTATTGTACCTCGTTTGAGCTTCAGTAAATCTATTCAAATGAAATTCTGAAGTCTGTCTTGTTTTAAAGTTGAACTTGTTTTATTGAACCTTTCAAAAAGCATGGAGAAGAATCTGAAACCATCTGGTTTCAGTTGAAAAATTTTACTTCATGTCACTATGTGAATGCTAACCATTAACAACTCAATAAGCAACTACTGTAAGTGATTCCCACTGGATTTTTGGATTTATAGTGGGTTGAGATTTCATGGTTGCTCACACTCATGCACCCCTCTGTCCACACTTATTCATTGAATAAATGTATTAATGTAACGTAGTAAACAAATTAAACACAATTAAAAATATTCACAAGTTGTTAGGCCTACACATCTATCACTGTGTATATCACAATTCAAACATGTTGAACAAAGTTTAAGAAACCCCGTACAGCTGTCAAAAACAATGTGAAATGTTGACTTTAATTTATAGTTGTACAACATCTAGCATTCATAGTTCTGAATGCTAGGGTCATTCTTAACATACGCCATTTTAGCCAGGTCAATAGAAAAAAACCATTTTGATTGTCCACGATATCTTTTATTCCTCACATGCCACAGAGGCAAATGTCTACCCTGTTACAGGCATTAATGTGTCTATTAATCAGTGTTTTGAATGTACTATTAGGAGTTTCAATGATAAGTTGCTCTTACATATATATTAGGGTTATTTATATTTTTGGTCGATTATGATTCTGAACATGGAAGTTTGGTCTACTTATGCTTAAATCATAGTTTTCATCTTAAAGGGGACCTATCATGCAAAATGCACTTTTGTACGTCTTTTATACATGAATATGTGTCCCCGGTGTTCCAGGGAACTCACCAAGTGTCAGAAAACACAACCCTCTCTATTTTCCTCCATACCCAAATCTCTAAAAAAGGGGCTGCAACGGATCTGATAAAAACTGATCCAGATTTGAACACTTCACTGACGTCACAGAAGTGGCGCTACGGCTATTGGGCCAACTCTCCACCTATCAGGGGATGTGGGGTTGGGCCACGGCCGGCCATTGCCGCTCGAAAGCGCTGGAGACGCTGTAGTACATATGCCAGGCCTGTAAGTGGCGCTGTAGTCTGCCACAAAAGCAGCGAAGACGACTTCCCGCCCATAGTTACCATGGTTACCCTTCTGTTTATTCTCCGCTGTGGCTTTTTTTCTCCCTCCCCGAGGCAAGCGTTTGCTCCCGCTGCTTTAATTCAATGCAATCCCTCCCCGTCGAGGCAAGCACTGTAATTCTCTCCGGTTAGTCCACCAGCAGATGACAAACACCCACCTCTCCGCCTCTTCCAAGGAACGAGGGGACCGTGCGGCAGAGTTTCAGTTTCAGTTTCTTTCGCCGGTCAAGATGTCCGTTAAAGTTGAAATCTTCCGGACAAAATTAGAAAAGTGCCGGTCAAAGGTCTTCTTTGTTATTTATTGAGCTTTAAAACAAATTAATAACAACTCTATAGGCCCATAATAAAACACAGAGGACGGAGATCTTTTTTTCTCCCCCTCTTGACTTGATCAGAGCACGGCTCCCCTCTTCTGCAGCTCACAGAATCAGCCCCGTAGACAGCAAACAGCACATAGAGCGAAATGAGGCATGGCTAAAATGCATGATCTGTTTGGTATTTTGAAAACAGAAACGTATAAATATACCTTATATAGGTATGGCCCTACAATATATCATTTAAATATAGCATGATAGGTCCACTTTAAATCATGGTCATCTTGGATACATAGCATTGTATTTGTTTGCAAATCAAACTTTTAGAAATAAGAATTAGCCCTTTTAAAACGCAAAATATATAATATAATGTCATGAGGACTTAAAGGGCACTGTAAAGGTTCCTTTTCCGTAAGGAAGTACTCCCAAGGAACCTTTGAAAATTAGATCGCAAGCTGGGTCTGAGGCCCCGGCTCCACGAGGACAAATACGGCAAAACGCATCGGAGTAACGCAAATGCAACCGCAAAAAACCTTCCGTCCCCACGCAATATACACCGGATTGTGTCAAGCTCCACGAGACGGCTCCGTTTACATCCAAACGCTGGAAAAGCTGCAGTACATATGCCGAACCTGTACGTGGCGCTGTAACTTCCTCCACCAAAAGCAGCAACTTCCTCCACAAAAGCAGCGAAGAAGAATGGTTGTCATGGCTGCACTTCTGTGTATTCTCCGCGGTGGGGGCCGACAGAACCGGGCAGAGTTTTTCGCCGGTCAGCGTGTGTTAAAGTTTAAATCTTCCGGACAAAATTATAAAAGTGCCGGTCAAAGGTCTTCATTGTTATTTATTGAGCTTTAAAACAAATGAATAACGACGATATAATGATATATAATCATCAAATACACAGAGCCTGTCTCTTTTTCCTCTCTTCTCACAGCGTCAGTGTCTGTCTCATGCAGCAGCTGATCCTGTAATGAGTGACCCGACAGTAAAAATGAACATATTTATAACTAGTTTAGTTTGAGAGGTAATTAAAATAGCTAAGGGTGATGATCTGACTTGAAGTGTGTGTTTTGCTCCCGCTGCATCACAGCGGCAGGAGCTGCGTGTCTCCGTCCTGTCAGATTAGACTTCACTCGCGTTTATGTCCATATCGAGATAAAGATAAATAATCTGAATTCAAGGAGGAGCTCCTGTAGATGTTGCACAAAGAACTGTAGCATGGTCAGTAGCGACTGGAGCACGATAGCAACCCTGCGGGGGAGAGGCGGGGCTATGAAAACGAATGACCGTATAAGCGACTCCACGGCCCCGTTGGACCCCCCAGAGCGCTCCGTTCCCAGATCTATCCACCTTTGGACCCGTTGTCGTTTGCGGGGTCTGTTTCTACGTTTCCCTTACGGCCTCGTGGAGCTTAGAGGGCTATACGCATGAGAAATATGCGGATTCAACCCGTTTTCGTCCTCGTGGAGCCGGGGCCTTAGTGAGCTCATACTGGTTGAGAAGGCAGTCCTTGAGTTGGCATGCCATCCTTTCGGCCATCTTTCCGACAGTTAGCCGTTCACATTTGGTTGTTGCGTGCCATACGCAGGGTTTCCAAAGTCAAATTCAAGCACTTTTCAAGCATTTTCAAGGTGCATTTTCAAGCTTTTCAAGCATCTTACAGCTGTTGTAAATTACATATTTATATACACATACTTATACTCAAATGATTATTTCCCTACCTCACATTAAATCAGATGTTCTTTATGCTATAAACAACCAAATGTGTGTTTCATAATAGCATTCTACATGAGGATGAAAAATTAAAAATGTTAGAAAAGAAAACTAAGTTTAATATTTCAAAATGAGTGACCCATCTGTACGTAGACTGGGCATCCCATATAACCTGGCTCAGCCAATATAAAACAATCAGCCAAATAACTTTTTAATATATTATTGATTACTATTTTTGAGGTACTTTTAGGTTGGCAGTAAACACAAGTCAGAGGTAAATGGTGTACTTTGACTCCACTACATGTATTTAATACCTTTAGTTACTTTACAGATGTGGATGAATGATGTGAAATATAATCAAGTGTTAAATCAGACTTTAGTTCCACCTGGAGTAAATTCACAAGCTACTCTGCAGTATACAAAGTCATTCAAACTAGCTGCAACTTTACCAGCTTTGATAACACTTTCATGATCAATCATTATAAAACATCATATACAATTATTAGGGATGCTCCGATCGCCAATTTTGGAGCCGATCGCCGGAA